CTCTTTTCTTTTTTTCTTTTTTTTAATTTAAAGTTTATTTATTTATTAATTTTGAGAGAAACAGAGGCAGAGTGAGTAGGGGAGGGGCAGAGAGAGAGAGGAAGAGAGAGAATCCCAAGCAGGCTTTGTGCTGTCAGTGTAGAGCATACAACTTTTGATTTTGGGATCGTGAGTTTGAGCCCCACATTGCAGGTAGAGATTACTTAAAAATAAAGTAAGTGAAGTAAGTAAGTTGAAGTAAGGATTTGTAACCAATAAATCATCCTCTGTGTGTGAGATATTTGTGCAGGGGAAAGGAAGTTGGGAATTGGTACTGGGAAAGTTTAGGGGTAATGCTCTGATTATAGAAGCGAGTTTTATTTTCTGTTTCAATAGCTATGGAACTTGAAATGCATTTGAAATAACCTTTGTTTATTATGTTTATTTCTCCTTAGGCTCTGGAGACAAAGTTCTTGCATTGGCAAGTTTTGAGGTCGAAAAAACAAAAAAATGACCTGGTGTGGAAGCTTGGGACATTGATCACATTCTTGCTGTAAATGGCATTTGTCTCATAGGGATTTTGAATCATTGCAAAGACATCAAGAGATTCTTGAAATACATTGATAACCTGAGAAACGGTGATGGAAAACACACTTGTGGCTTCTGGTTATACCCTTCCTCGTCGTGCTTCAGGGCTGCTTGCCTGAGTGATCCTAGATGGGCGGGATGAGGAACCCATTGGGCCTTATTCATCATGTCTTGTGTGTTTGAGAGAAGGAACAGAAAACAGTCTCTCTGCCTGTTTTTATTAAGCCTCCTTGTTTTAAGTGCCGATAGTAAATGAAAAGATGTGAACTAACGATTCTTTTCTGCTCATAATTTATCCCCACTTGTTGGAGTGAATAGTGTACCAACATCAATAGACGTCCTGTGTGTTTATAGAATTTTAGAGTTCCAAGTGATCTTGGAAATCATTTTCATTTTATAATCAAGGAAACTGAGGCTCAGAAAGAACAAGTTGACTTGCTGAAAGTCACATCCGAGACAGAGCTGGTTTATAAGACTTGGGCATCCTGACTCTCAGTTTAGTGTCCACTGAGTTTTATTTCTTTATTTTGTGCTGTTTTTAAAAACTAATTAACACATATTTGGGCAAGTCCGTGTTTATGAAAATTCCATGTCCCAACAAAAAGTTGTCACTAAGGGACCATTCCTCCAGCCTGTAGGGCCTCCATATGAAAGGGGCCCATTGTATCCCTCAGTTGTGAGCTTGGAACAATGGGAGCCCTGTTGAGAGTCTCCTGGAGTAACTTAACCTCCTGCTTTGTTTCACCAGGGAAGTAATTGAAAGTGGCAGCTAGAGCCCCCCGCCCCAGCCCTCCCCACCATGTGTGACCTCTTTGCTGAAACCCAGTAGGTGGTGACTGTAACTATTATTTACTCTTCTGTTTTTGGAGAAACACAAAATAAGTTACGAGGAAAAACATACTCTCAAGTGTTTATATTTCTCTGCATGCTCAAATATATAGATTTCCCCATGCATATGTATATGCTAGCTTATTTTCTAGGCTCGGGCCACTTTATATTTTTTTCATGTGTGTCTCAGTTTTCTTTTCCTTTGCACTTTATCCAAATTAAAACACTTCTGAAGCTTCTCATATACTGTAAACTCTACTAGGTGCTCTGCCAACTGGACAAATTAGGGACCTCAGCTTCATTAATGCCTTATTTGGAACTCTTAATGGGTAACTTTTTATATATTGGTTTATAGCGGTCAAAAACTCATTGAAATTGTAACAAACCAAGAAAAAGCAAATTGCCTGCTACCCATGTAGGATTTTATGGTCAATCATCATTATTTCATTATTCTGCATTTTTGTTTGTTCAAGTGATCTCTACACCCAACGTGGGGCTTGAACTCAGGACCCCGAGATCAAACGTCACATGCTCTACCAACGGAACCAGCCAGGCACCCCTAGTCTGCATTGTTTTTAATTGAGGTGAAACTCACGTCCTATAAAAATCAGAAATGTACAATTCAGTGGTGTTTAGTACGTTCACAATGTTGTGCAGCCATCACCATCTAGTTCCAAAACATTTTCACCACCCCAAAGGAGACGCCACACCCATTAAGCAGTCACTCCCCGTGCCCTCCTCCACATCCCAGCCCTCCGGCAACAACTAATCTGCTTTCTGTCTCTGGATTTACCTATTCTGGAAAATTCCTGTCAATGGAAGCATACGGTATGCGACCTTTTGTGTCTGGCTTCTTTCACTTAGCGTATTTTCAAGGTTAATCTAAGTTGTAGCCTGTATCAGTACTTCACTCCTTTTAATGGCTGAAAATATTTCCTTGCGTGGATACTACATTGCGCTTATGCATTTACCTCTTGAACGTTTGGACTTTTTCCACTTTCTGGCCATTGCAAATAGTACTGCTATGAACATTTGTATCTAAGCGTTTCAATACCTGTTTTCAGTTCCTTTGGTTTTATATCCAGGAATGGAATTGCTGTGTGTACGTGTGTTTTGGGGGTTTTTTGTTTTGTTGTTTAAGCCCTAACAAGATTCCCCTTTCCCCTCCAGTAGTAGGATAAGGAAAATTAGGAATATTGGGTATTTGAGAGGGGCCTACGTGAATCTGGAGTCCTTAATTTTGCTTTCCCTTTACACTTTCTGTAAGACTAACATCAGTGAAATATTTTGTCATTAATCACATTAGTGTATTCATTTTGTAAGTAATGACTAGTACTCAACTTAAAATTAATCTTCCTTTAAAAGTTACAAAGTATGCAGTACCCAGCAAGATACTGTCATTCATGACCGTGTGACCTTTGGTAGGTTACTTAATCTTTTTGAGGCTCATCTTCCTCTTCTGTTCAATAGGGATCCGTAGGTAGGACCTACCTACCGCATGGGTTTACTGTGGATCTCCCTCTCTTTAACACAGACAGAAGTTTTGCATTGGAGCTAATCTACAATTTAACAATTCTTTCGAGGGCCATGTTATATATTTTGTTTCACAAATTTGGTCCTTAATTCAGAAAAAAATGAAAAGGGACTAATTTGAAAATTCTATACAATTATAGTTATTAAATGATTTGCAAACTAGGTTTCCTGTTCATATTTTGCTATATTTAATCTGGGTTTTTAAACTTCTCGGGAGGTCTCAGACTGAAATAACTAGGTCTCAGACTGAAATAACTAATGCTAAGGCAGCTAACTTTTTGATATCTTTGGGTCAAGCTAATATTTTAATGAGAAAAATTCCTGCATTTTTCAAAGAACTGGGGTTGAAGCAGAAGTAAATTCCAATGAGCGAGTGTACAACTGGGCAGTTTAATGAAAGGTAATAATTTAAAACCGTTTCTAGGGGCTCCTGGCTGGCTCGGTCTGTAGAATGTGCAACTCTTGATCTCGACCTTGTAAGTTTGAGTTCCACGTTGGATGTAGAGATTACTTAAAAATAAAATCTTAAAAAATAAAACAATTGTTGTGTTTCAGTGCTTTGTTCTTCCTGTAAATGGTAAGAAGGGTATGCTAGGTAGGCCTTTTTTTTTTTTTTTTTTTTTTTTTTTTTTTTTTTTTTTTTTTTTTATGTTTATTTTTTTGAGGGGCAGACAGAGAGGCCAACTGAGGGTCTGAAGCAGGCTCTGTGCTGGCATCAAAGAGCCCGACGTGGAGCTCGAACTCACGAACCATGAGATCAGGACCTGAGCTGAAGTCGGACACTTAACCAACTGAGCCACCCTGGCGTCCCTGTTGGGCCTTTCTTTGAAGACAACTCAGCCAAAGAACAGCCATCTTGGGCAAAATAAACGACTACAAACCCACCGTTGGATGGCATCTTACTACAGTGAATAATGGATAGTTTGAAATGATGACAGGAAAAATAAACCCAGACCATTTGGCCTAGAGCTTTTCAGCTACTTCCCTGTCCGTTTTCCCCCCTTGCTGTATATTCGTTACTAAGGCCAAAAAAAATGCGCTTGTTTGCCTCTCAAAATGTTTTCAGCATTAATATGTAGATTAAAACTGTCAGCAGTGCCACAGACCCCCATGAACAAGCGCTAATTGCTTCCAGTCTGTTTGGCCCTGGAATTGCAAAGATTTAGAAACTGGGTTAACTAGTATTTAATATTTTCACTAAATTGCAAAAAGCAGGTTGAAAATACGGCTCCTCTGGGTATTCCTCTAGAGTACGGCCTTTTGACATCCCAACTCACTGTCTTTTTGAAGTCCCTCTCCCCGCCACAGTAACCACGAAGCGGGGCCACCAAGCTGCTGAAAAGGCTTCCAACACGGGGCTCTCGCGGTGCTCTCAAGGGTGCGTGGCGAAGAGTCCGCCGTCCGAGAGTCTGGAAGCTGAGAGGCCTGTCGGCTGGAAGCTTCGTGGTGTTTGGTTGTCTTCCTCTGGGAAGAGCACGTTCCTTAGAGCCTCAGGCAACGGACAGCAATTAAAAATAATTAAACGAGGGGCGCCTGGGTGGCTCGGTCGGTCAAGTGTCCGACTTCGGCTCGGGTCATGCTCTTCCGGCTCGCGAGTTCGAGCCCTGAGCCGGGCTCCGTGCTGACAGCTTGGAGCCTGCAGCCTGCTCTGGACGCCGCGTCTGCCCTCTGCTGCTCACATCCGGTCTCCCTCTCTCAAAAATGATTTAAAATAAACACCAAAGAAAACAAAACTGAACAAGCAGAACGTATTCCGTAAAGAAGGTCAAGGAGAGTCACCGGCTTCCTTTTGAATTAAGAAAGCAGAAGGGGCACCTGGCTGCCTCAGCCGGCAGAGCACGTGCTTCTCGATCTCGGGGTTGTGAGTTCAAGCACCACGTTGGGTGTAGAGATTACTTGAATAAATAAATAAAATTAAAAAAAAAAAAAA